CAGCCCATCCTGAGAGCATTCCTACTTGTATCTTTCTAGATTCTGTCAGGGGATACTCTTTTTTTAGGTGTGGGTAGGATTGCTCTGTTTTTAATTCGTTTCTAGCCCATGTGATCATTGAGATTGAACCAAAGCAGGGCTTGCTGCTTCAAATTTCTCTTCCATATTCAATTTCCCGACATGGTTAAGTCGTTTAAGAAGTCAGTGTAGTCACTTCACGATATTGGGAAATTTTTGTTAAAAGCCTACTAGGGCCACACTAAGACACTGTACATTAAATAATAATAATAAAATTTTGAAAGCTCCCTCCAAGAAAGAGGAGGAGACAGGACGGGGCAAGAATAGGCTTGTTTTGTTTTGTTTTCCTTATTTTCTTAAGGGAAGCAAGCCAAATAAGTTCACTTGAGGTGCATATGCTATGGACCCAAGGATCATATCAAATGGCACATCGGATTTCTACCCAACCTAAAGCAACCCTGTTTAACCTACCGGCCTGCTCAACTGAGCCATTTAGCCAAACCCTTACATTAGCATTCCATTCATTCAATGGGACTACTCAGTAATAGAAACTAATGCATTAGAATTACTTACATTACCAATTAAATTCAAAATTTGCTAATTTGCTAACTGAAAGAGACAACTTCAATTTGTTTTTTAATGAAAGTGATTTAGTTTGGTTTGTATTTCTTCTTCAAAATTAAGCAAGTAATAACATTATACAGTGGTGCCTCGCTAAACAGTTACCCCGCATGACAATTTTTTCGCTAGACATTGACTTTTTGCGATCGCTATAGTGATTCACAAAACAGTGATTCCTATGGGTGAATTTCGCTGGACAATGTTTGGTCCCTGCTTCGCAAACNNNNCAGGGTGTATATTCACAGGAGGAGGCTTTACAGGTTTTGCCAACGTGGTTGAGTTTAAATATTCCAGGAGATCCCGGCTCAAGTCCCTGCAACGCCATGAAACTCAGTGGGTGACCTTGAGCCACCCACCCCTTGTCTGACTTTCTTTGCAGAGTTCCTTTTATGGTCACATAAAGCAAGGGAAAGCCATGCATTCCACCTTGGCTCACTGGTGGCACAAAAATGTAAATAATAATAAGCATCCATTCCGATTCCAAGCAACTAAAATGTAGATGCACATTTAAAATCCTGGGTGGAGTTTGGAAGTTCGTCTGTGAAGACTGAAAGGGTTTATGCCACTTGTCAAGTAGATATCAGTGTGCGGTGGTGACTGTGTCTATGACCGCTGTGCAGAGGCAGGTACAACTGATAGCCATACCTTAAAAGAAGAACCATGTACTGTATATTATGCAGCAATGTTATAATAATATTATTTAGAGAGAAGGCTATTCACCCATGCTCCACGAAGCTCCATGGCCCTGCTGTTTTCCTGGCAGATTCTTTCATATTTGCATGCTCAGATGTTGACCTTTCTAAGTGAGAGCCAAGCCCCAGCACAATTTTGTTTACCATCCAGCATAGCAAAGCCCAAGCTGTGCCCTCTCCTGCATTAACCGTTCAGTGTGTTTTGCAAGGATTTTTTTAAAAAAATAAAATGTTTTAATCACGCATTCATTTTGTGCTTTAACAAGCAGTGGTAATGATTAAAACATGCCAGGCTTCTTCTCCCTGGGAAAGAATAACTTACAGGAGTTCCTAGGGTGGGGTATGTACACCTAGCCCGTCTGTTTGCAAAAGGTAGGGGACGGGAGAATGAGAAGAATCTAATGGCGTTAGAGCACAAGGAGGGCTGGAAAAGAGAACAGACAGTAAGACGGGTATGATAATGCCTTTGCATAAGCTTGCAGGTCACCTGCATTTTTGTGCAGTTCTCGTGGGTGAGACCCCAGCTGCCACAGAGCTGGGAAAATTGCAAAAGAGAATAAAGTGTGTGTGTGTGTGTGTGTGTGTGTGTGTGTGTGTGTGTGTGTATG